ATGGGGTATGGCAGTGGGGGAAAGGGGGCATGAGTGGGGGACGGGGCGGACAAAGAAGGAAAATTTTCTTTTGAAATCAAACAGAAACCATATCTTACCAAACGCGGGAAAATAGAATCAAAATTTTTCTGGAAAATATATTCCCCTCAATCAAACACACCTTTATTCCCTCAAGAATCTATGACAAAAAAAAGAATTGCATGCATACTCTTATTATATAAACATCCAAAGTGTGTAGACAAGAAGCATTTTCAAAGGAATACAAGAGTTAACAGTAAGCCAAGAAAAATAAAACAAATGATCACCTTCTGAACAAGGTGAGCTTCCCCTCTCCCGGTGGGAAGTGCAACAGTTTCGTTATAGCTCACACATGTTTCCTTCTCAGTCACTTCACCACAACTACATTTCAGCTGCACACGATAAGCTGATTAGAGATTCCAAATATCGGCACATAGAACAGATTATAAACATATAGATCTTACATTAAAACTCAAAAAAAAAGTTCAAATAGGGCATTTCGTTTCTTGTTTCAACAATGAAAAAGGAGTGAAAGAGAGCATATAGTACACAGACATGTCTATAAAATGACTTAACCTTACAGATGCACAGATGGAGAGCACTTGTGTACACAAATTTGCATGTTCTGTTAACCCGCACACAAGAGGGGTATCACGTTGTAAACTATATAAATCAGCTCTACAAACTGAGTGTTAGCAAAGGAAACAAAGCAAGTGAAGAAAATGTTGGTCCGGATTTCTACTTGCAACTCGAATAAGACCAGCTTTCGACTCCAAATCCGGAAAAAAAATAATCAAACAAGGGCAGATTCTAGCATTCTATCAAACCAATAGCCCCCTAGCCGCGTATAGAAATGCGCAAGAGAATACGGGCAAAAAATGCTCAACAAGAGCAAGACCTAAAACCACATATTCACATTCCATGCACAATTCATTCACAAATGTCTGAATTGTGTAAGAATCGAAGCGCCCTTTTGGTGAGCTGTAGTAAGGTTGATAGCTTATCGAGTCAATTTGGATAAACTTAGATCATTATTTAAAAAAAGTTGTATTGGATATTAGTATAAAAATGATTTCTTTAGATTTATCTTGTAGAAAGCTATCAAAAAATTATTTCATTATGTGAATATGCAATACAAGCATAATGCGATTGATTATTAAAGTTTGTCTAATTTGACTCAAAAAAGTCAAACTGAACAAATATTGTGAGAGGGGGGAGTATATGAGTTTTGAAATTTGAAATTATAAGTTTTTTGGATAGACCAAAAATTTGATATGATTGTTAGTGACAGTCACTGTAGCCAACAAATAGTCGGCGGTGGCAGGGTGGCCGGCAATTGTGTGAGATATCAAAACCCGGTATTGATATCAAAATAAACTTGTTTAGCTTCATCAAATTCTAATATTAGGAGAGAGAAATTACCAGACATGCACAGAATATCTTGGGAGCAAACAAATGTCTCACATCACACAGAAGAGAGAATATGAACCAAAATAAATGGATTCCACTTAACTCATTAGTATATGGCATTTTGGAAGGTATCCAAAGCCAAAATTCGTGAAGACTTGACCTAAAGCGAACAATATCATACTAACGTGGGAATATAATGAGGGTGCACAGATTTCCAACATGTGGCATCAAAGGCAAGCTCTGAGGGGGGCAAGAGCAATGTGACGGTGTGCCAAAAGGAACTGGACCATAAAAGATCTGCAAAGGGTGCCTTGTGTCGAAAGTCTTCATAAAAGGAAGAGGTGGTCATGGTTCTAATTGCGCTACAAGATGATTTGACAGATCAAATAGAGTGACCTGGGGTTGATGCCTTTCACCAAAAGTCTTCGGGGACAATGACAAAGTCGAGGAGCATGTCGGTTGTTGAGAGGGTACAAGATGCTGACAGATCAAACGTTGTTGAGACGGTACAAGAAGTCGGGCGGCATGTCGGTTGCAGCTGGAGGGGAGGGTACCAGTTGCGTGGTTGTTCGAGTTGAGGTTTGTTAGGAGCAAAGAGAATATATGAATCAAAACAAAATATGTTCAAATCTATGAGGACCTAATGCGTTTTTTTTTGTGGCGTCCTATAATTCCCAACCTAGCTTTTCGTGAGTCTTTTAGGCTTAATCAAAATTTCCAACAGAAGAATAGGAGCGGCGAGGAAGGGAGATGATTACCTACCTTGAACATGTAGGTGAAGTTAGGGTTGTCGAAACCGCCTTGCGGCTGAAGATTGGTGAGGTTCTCCAGCTCCGCCGTGATCCTCAACTGGTATTGCACCATCTTTCCCTCTTCCGATTACAGGATGGACGGAGACTGTGGGGTTTATTAGTTTAATTTGGAGGAATTTTTTTATAAGATTACGGAGTATACCCTATCCTCTCTAAGGTGGAACGCCCACCAGGGCTCTCTTATCCTGTGAGGGTTAAATAATAGAAAGGCTCCCTCGGTTACAAATAATAGAACTCTTATATTGTCACTGTCACAATTCGACTTTAGAATCAACAGAATATCCTCTTTTTGAACACGCTATCCTTTACGAAGTGTACAAGAAAACAAAAAAGGTTGAACCTCAAGTCCCAACTCGACTCGCCCTTTATTTTGGAGGTCCTAAGGAAACATGATTAAGGCCTCGTTTGGGATTAATTTTTTTGATCTTTTTGATAAAATTTTAATGATGTAAGTTAATTTTGAAAATACTAAGTTAATCTTTTTCAAAACGCTAATGTTGATGCCAAACAGGACCTAAAAGTATGTTTTTAAAGTTTAATTTTTCGTAACTTCTAACTTCTTCTAGTTTTTTTTCAACTTTTTCAATTAATTTCAATTCCTTTCAAAAAAATTTCAATTCCTTCCAACTTCTTTCATTTTTTTTCTAGTTTCTTCCTATTTTTCTAATTTTTTCAATTATTTCCATTTTCTTTAATCTTTTTTTACTCCCAAATAACTACTCTAAAAAAATATTTTTTATGTATTATTACTATTATAGTTTCTAAATTATTTCAATTTTTATATTTTTCTTTTTCCCATGTTATTATTTTGTGAGTCATACTCATTATTATTTTTTCATTCATTTTTAATATAAATAATACGGCGTATGATTTTATTGGGAAATTTATTAATTTTTAATTTACATTACACTAAACTCGGTTCCAAAAATTATAAATATTTTATTAATCTAAAATGACATAGGAAAAACATCAATATTATAAATTTAATAATAATAATAATTATACTACAATATATGTACCTAATTAATGACATGTACACTATTCACGAACTGGAATCATTTATCCCTGTCGCTTGTCCCCTCCCCTATCCAGTACATTATTTATTCACGTGGTCGAATTTTATTCACTTTCTTTACTTATATTATAGGCAAAATATAGTGATAACAACAACAACAATTATAATAAGAATACCATGAAGTTTTCAATATGATAAGTCTAATAAAGTTGTTTTAATGTTAAAATACATTAAAATGACTAATATGTAATATAAATTGGAAATGATTAAAATTTAAAGTTTGTAAAATTTGTTTAAAAAAATCAAATAAGTGTATTTCAATTATAATTGGAGTTCAAAGTATAATCCAATGGATCTTGTTGGCCTACCCCTTCAACGCGCCTTCTTCTTTCACCCAATTTACGACTCTCTCCCCCCCTTCTGTCCTGAAGCCGACTCACAGAGCAGGTGAGCAGATATCCATGGCTTTTGTGTTTAAACTTCCGGCGAATCTCCAAGGAGGAATCTCCCACTACAATTTTACCGGTACGAGCAAAAGAGCTGTTAATACTAGCATTACCAGCAGGCAGAATTCTTCCATCCGAATGTGTTCATCATATTCCCAGATCCTCAAGCAATCGCCTCCATCTACATCTCAGAAAAGCGCACCTTGCATAATGGTATGTCTTCGGCAACGCTCGTATGTATATTTTCTTTTTATTAAGAGTTGAAGCTTTCTGGAGCATAATTACAAACCAAATTTCACAATGATGCAGGAGTTTTGTTGTGTGGTTTATTATGATTTGCTAATTAGGTTTCTCTATGGCGCTATCGCATGTTTATTGTGATTTGTTGATGAGGATTCTCTTATTTTGTTAATTGACTCTAAATTTTCATTTTCCTCTTGATATTGGATGAAATATACAAATCCTTACTCATGTTTTAGTTGTAACTTGGACCTCCACTAATTTGCCTGTTAAATTACAACTGCATTCAGACACTGATTTTTTTTTAATTTTAATTTTTGAGTAGAATAAATTTATCATATTTAACTTGTTTCCATCATGTATTAGGTAAACGGATGTACTGGAAAAATGGGAAGAGCAGTTCTTGAAGCTGCTATTTCTGCAGGACTTCAGCCCGTTCCTGTGGCTTTTAGTAGCACTGAAGATTCAGGGAAGATATTGGATGTAGCTGGAAAAAAGATTACAGTGCATGCTCCTATTGACAGAGAGAGCACTCTAGCATTAATCTTTGAGGAGCATCCGGATTTAATTGTGGTGGATTACACAGTTCCTGCAGCAGTGAATGGTAAGTTATTTAAACTGATCAATGCATGAACTCTGTAGTTCATGTAGGTACATGAATTTATTACACCTTAGGAGTCCGTTTGGGAAGGGTGTATATGGTTGAAATTGGTGAAATTTCTGAAATTATGGCTGATATTTGATGAAGATGTTGAACTTTCTGAATTATGAAACTCAACAAGAACAGCTTACCCCAGTGAAGTCCCACAACCGGGGTGTGGGGATGGGTGTACGCCAGACCTACATCTAGATAAAGTGTTAGAGAGGTTGTTTTGTAAAGATTCTTAGAAATTATGAAACACCAAAGTATTTTTCATTGATGAAATAAAGAAAATGCTTATGAAAAAAGGAGACTAAAATCATTGTTCAATTGCTGTAAGCAACTTCAGCAAAAAAGTACATATAGCTGATTAGGCTAAAAAATTGCTAATAAGACAAATAATTGGCTACCAGACCACTAGGCTTGTGAAGTTATTTTCATAGTCATCTTTTCTTTTTTTGCCGTCCTTTTATCTCTTTTAATTTGTTTGGAAGCTATGATATCTCCTTAACCAGAAAGCAGTGATGCTTTGTTTTTGGACATGTCTTTTTTATGTTTTTTGGTTGCTTTGCACGCACAGATAATGCGGAGTTGTATTGCAATGTTGGAGTTCCTTTTGTGATGGGAACTACTGGTGGTGATAGAGATAGGTTGTATAAGACAGTGACGGACTCTAATAACTACGCTGTGATCTCCCCACAAATGGGAAAGCAGGTAATGATGACACATCAGGCCTTTTAATGTTCTCTGCATCTGTCATTCTTTGGTCTATTGATTTTATTGCATGTGCCCTATTTGGTTTTGCCTAGGTTGTTGCATTTCTTGCTGCAATGGAAATAATGGCAGAGAAGTTTCCTGATGCTTTCTCTGGCTATAAACTACAGGTATATCCAGTTTTTGTTTGTTTCAATGGAAACATAGATGTGAGTGGAGAGAAATTGGATAGATAGCATTTCTCTTGTTTAGAGTAGAAATAAAAAGAGCTGAAAAGAAAAAAATGTGGAGCCTACCACTTTTTGGAGTCTCCTCTATTGTTGGAAGAAAAGAGGTGGGAACTAAGTTGCATTGAGACGTGGATGTGTACTAAAACTGGGACAGTGAGACACCGAAACACCAACCTTTTCAAATTTTACGAAGGCTTTGGCTATCGGGACATACCTAGGTTCCAAATGGTGACATTTTGAGGGCGGGAAACGACATTTAGTGGGTGTCTCTCTGTGCTTATAACTTATAAGCTTGTCAAAACTGCCTAGAAGTTGTTTTTGAATTAGAAGTCAACTGATGACATGTTTTTGTTTGTGCGTATAAGTTGACTTATAAGCATCTTATAAGCCAAAAAAAATAAGTCATACCTACTTATTTTTAAGTAAGTTTTTTCAAAACTTTGTTTTGACCAATTTATTTACAAAATTATTCCTCGCCATTTATGAATATTCTCAAATGACCTGTCTATCATTTAAGTCATTTTACTTCACGAAAGAATATTCAACTTATAAGCAGCTTATAAGTTTAAAATTGCTTATCAGTAATAAGCTACTCCGGGGTAATAAACACCAACAGAGAGAAACACCCCCTACTTGAAGAATCTATGCAAACATAACATAGGGCAGAAATGGGTATTTTTGTTATTTTTTATTTTCATCTTGTGCAGCAAGCATAGCATTGTTGTTTCTCTCTTTGTGAATAATTAGTAAGAGCAGTTGCATTGGTTGGAGTTCAAACTCTCACGTCTCTCCGCTTCATGACCTCCACATCATCATTCCGTTAAACTAAACTCTCACCCACACATTCTACTTATTCATTTTAAGATAAAAGTTCAAACACATGGCCAGTGGGTGCTTCTAGCCACCAACTCATCCAAGTGTCAGCCACTTGGAGGTTTCAAGTCGGTTCAAATGTTTGAACTGTATGTACTTGCAAAGTTTTCATTTTCCTTAAACCTTTGTTATCTTAAATATAATTAAATGATTGCTTTTTGAACTGATGGATAAGGTGATGGAGTCTCATCAAGCAAACAAATTGGATCTATCTGGCACTGCCAAGGCTGTCATCTCCTGTTTTCAGCGATTAGGGGTCTCCTTTGACTTAAATCAGGTCAGTCCAGAGAACTTAAAGTCTGAAATGCTCATGTATCTGACTCTAGAGATTTTGGATTAAGGGTAGTAATGTTCTTTTTATAACTATTGATTTGGGGTTAAGGTTATGTTGTTGTATACTGTTCTCTCTATGTCAATTGTTCACGTTACCGACTCTGCTAATTTCAGATTGAGGCTACTAATATACTTTTATGCACTATATTATTATATACTACGTACTTATTTGGGATTAAGGTTCTGTTGTTGTTTATTGCTCTCTTTAACATGGCTTCCTGTCATGCTCACTAAATACTTACAATATTGCAGGTATTTATTATTTGGTGGCATCAGATCTAGTCATCATAGCCAATAAATTTTATAGAATTGAACAACAATGAAACTTGCCCTGACTTGCCATTTTCAAGAAGCTAGAAGTAAGCACATGATGGGGAAAAGGGACATAAAAAGTAATCAGTTTATCGGAATTACATGAACGTTTAAGCTAAAAGCAAATTATTCTAACTTGTCTTTTCCCCATTACTCGTACTACATTTCATTGTTTGTCGGGGTTCCTCCCAAAAGAGTCTCTACTCCTTGGGATAGAGGTGAAGTCTGTATATCCTTCCCCTGAGTGGGATATATTGTGTATGTCTGGTTTGGGAAAATTTAATTTGTTGTATTGATCAGTTTATCTATTTTTACTCGCTAGTTCATTATGACTTTTGTGACACATCAAGAGTTGAATGAATTTAGACATACATCACGTCTACGTTCATTCATTTCTTAATATATTCAGAAAGTAATAATGGCCTGTTAAGAGAGAAGGGAGGGAGTAAGTCACTAGTAGGTCTACATAATTATGTACTCCGCATCTTTAATGTCTTTGTGGAACAATTATGTAATAGGTAAAACAAATACGCGACCCCAAACTACAAACCGAAATGGTTGGCGTCCCAGAGGAACACTTATCTGGTCATGCTTTCCACACATACAATCTAACCTCACCCGATGGAAGGTATACATCTCTCTGTAACTCCAGCGTCTTAATTTTGCAGTTTCTGAATACTTTCACCCAATTCAAACACGGCTCCCCTTAAGTTGTAACCCAACTCAAAATATGCTTTCCCCAAAGCTTTTATTGCTCAATTTTTAACTATATCAACTCTATGCTTTTCTGTAGTGTCTCTTTCGAATTTCAGCATAACGTTTGTGGAAGATCAATATACGCAGAGGGCACCGTCGATGCTGTTCTCTTCCTTGCGAAGAAGGTTTAGCTTCCTTATTTTAGTAACAAAACCAAGTGTAATCTCAACTATGTTATTCTTAGATTCGGGTAGGGTAAATAAGGAATGAATTTGATCAAAATGGCTCTTTAAATCTCATTTGCTTCTTACCTATCTATGACGGAAGGGTAAGCTGTTAGAGTGTCATCCCACATCGGAAGTTCAAGAGCAAAATAATCGGTATATAAGCTCTTGAGTTGAACTAATTAATCGATTGGATTTAATCTTTTAATGTGGTTCAACCCAAGTGTCTTATATTTTATCATAAGCCGTAAGTGTGTCAGAACTCACAACGACTGCAGGCTATAAACTTGTGTGGTTTCAGAAAGTCATACAATTTTGATTGCAGCTCATATATCTTTTGTACCACAAATTAGTCTTCTGCCAGTCACCAGTGCTATCTAACCTCAGGTATTGAACTCATTTTTCATTATATGATTACAGGTTAAAGCAAAAGAAAACAAGAGGATATATGACATGATTGATGTTCTGCGGGAGGGCAATATGAGATGAATTTCACGTTAGACCCCAACCCATCATCATCCTGGCTCTTATTATTATTATTATTGTTATTATTATTCTAAAAATTATTATTATTATAATTATTATTATGATACACATTCTTCTAAAAAGCAGGTAAGGTTCTACTAAGCAGGTTAGGTGCCCACTGGAGTGCCAAACTAATACATAATGAATTCTAGAGCACTTATTAAGCGAATCTTTTGCATTTAGCTATTTAGCTAGCTACAGATGTGAATTCAGTTTGGCTCAAATCTAGCCATGGGTAGAGTAGTTGAGGGAATATGGCATTTTGCATTTACTTTGTAGTATGAATGAGAGGGCATAATCGTCATTCTAACACTGTATTTAACCTTATGATTTGAATTTGTTTAGAGTCTTATCAGAGTTTTTTGGTGTTATTTTCTAGTTTGGTTTTAAAGATTCGAACTCTGGTTCGAGTTTAATTTTGATTTGTAAAGATGTTACTTGGGGATTTCAACAATGTGAATATGTGATGCTCGGAAAGATGGGCTTACCGGCTTAGCATTACTTAAGAAAAGATATCTGTTACTTAAGGGGAAGCTCTCTCGCCCCCCGTAACACCCTCCAATGGCTGCCACCTACCTAATCTCTCTTCATTTTCAATAATAATAATACTCCGTAATAATAATAATAATAATAATAATAATAATAATAATAATACTAGTAGTAGTAATAATAATAATGATGATGATGATGATGATGATGATGATGATGATGATGATGATGATGATGATGATAATAATAATAATAATAATAATAATAATAATAATAATAAACACTTCCTCACAATTTTTTAATTAACATATCTTCTTCTGAGAGAGTAACACTCAAATTACACTTTAAATATCAACATTATTGAATATGAAAAGCTTCTTTAAGAAATAGGGAGTATCTCTTTTTTTATCATAAAAAATAATGAAAAACATGTCGTGAGAAACATTTTTTATAAGCCCAAAAATTGTTTATTTTTTCATCAAATATATTCAATTTTGTTTGATCCATCATTTCTCCAAAAATATCTATCATTCCTCCAAATTTTTTTATAGGTATTTAAAAAAAAAAATAATATCTAAAACCGATGATCAGTATGGTGAGTGAAGTAGTCTTTAGGTATCATAATTCTTTTGTGTGGCTTTGATATCTTATTTAATTGCTAGCCATTCATCGTTGCTTGCTCCTGTGACCATTCTACCTTTGCTACTCGCGGTCATTATTTTAATTTTTTCCAAATACTTAGTTTAGAACTAATTTTTTTTTCAAATGTCAAAATATCATATCAACTCAACCAAGCTGAGTAGTTTTAGTATTAAGTATTTTTAGCAAAAGTAAAAGCAAAAAAATTGGTGGTAAACAAACCGTGCATCATACATTATTTAAATTTCTATGACTCAAAAGTCAACAAAATTTTGGGTTTGAAATTGAAGGTGTTAGGGTTTGAAATTGAAGGTGTTAGTCAACAAAAGTCAACCCAATGTCACAACAATCATACCAATTAAAGTAATAGTACCACATGGCAACTCCGTGGTGGGCATATCAAAGTCAGAGTGAATTATTCATTGATCTATAGTTTTTCACTCAATTGTATTTTTTTAAAAGGATGTACCACATACTAGAATTTCTCTGACTTAAGATTGGTCTGGACAATAAGCTCCACCCCGAGCAAGATTTCTTTGGTTTGTTTGGGGACTTGATTTTAGAATTCAAATTTGGATTTGATCCTAATTACTTGTTTGGAAAACCAAAGAATTTTGATTTTGATTTCAACCAAATTCTTCTAATTCAAAAAAATTGCAAATCTACACTTTTCCCCATGCCATTTACGAATCTAGGTCTAACTTTTCTTTATTTTATAACTTGCTACTATTAAAGAATGATTTCTCCGTATGCAACAACAATTCCATACACATTAATCAGCTTCTGTCCCCGTCTTCGTCGAACCTCATAATTTCAAATTCCAAATATTGTTTGGAAAATTATAGAATTTCAACTCTAGAACATATGTTAAAATTAAAATCTAACATTTCAAATTACAAATATTGTTTTAGATTCCTTTCAAAGAGGCCGCATCTTTTTTCTGCTCCTCTTTCACGGCACTTCTTTCTCAATCTATATTCCTTCAGTCTTTCATCTTCTTTTTTTCACTAATTTTAGAATTTTTATTCACAAATTCTTGAATCCAAAATTTTAGTATCTTCATTTCTTTCTCAATTTCATTAGTTATTTTAATTTTTTTACCAATCTATTAGTTAATTTTTGGTTAATTGAAAAAAGTATGTCGGTTTTTTAGTCTGTTAGTTTTCTAATTATTGTCAAATTTAATGAGTAATTAGCAAATTATTATCAATGAATTATTTTTCAATTTTTTTTGTGATTTGAAAAATTAGGGGTCATTCATAAAGAAAAAAAACGGCTAGTTGTTTAATGACTTTAATCTTATTTGTATCCGGTAAAGATTAGCAAAAAAAAATTAACAAATGTTTTAATTCGTATAATGCTTCAACGGGGTTTTTTACGGGATTTATTAATACACCCATATTAGAACGTAATTCAACACCTACAATTGATTTTTTTAATTACTTACCAAATAGCTCTAGCTATGATTTGTTTCACTTGTAATTTCACCAAACACTTTTGATTCAGATTTCAAAACCCATATCATTTTTCTCAGATTTCGAAACTCATATCTTATCATATCTCTAAAACTCACCAAACGGGCCGTAAAAAAACTCTTGGGGCGCTTAGTTTTTGCAAGCCGCCAGCTTTCTTCTCTTGACTTTCTTCTTCTTCTTCTTGCCACTTTGCCCTTTCGACGTCCTTTCACTTCCGGAGAGCACTGTATCCTCTTCAGCTGGGCTGCTTTCTTCTTCTTCTTCAGACATATCTTGCTCCTCTGGATGCTGATGAGCTAAGTAAAAGAATAAAGATGTTTATAAAAAAAATCCATATATGTCAGCCTAAAAAAGAGTTTGACATCCACTTATCACATATCTTTCTTGCCTGTTTTCATGGTCTTCCGCTTCTTGTCTATACCGTTCTTCCCGTTGGTCAATTTGTGAGACACTTCTTTGGCTTCTTTGCTTACATGTTGTGTATCATTCATATCTTCTTGCGCGGGCAATAGCAGTGATGCAATTTTTTTCATTAAAAAAAAAACGTATATATCTCCAGCTTTCAACCAAACCAATGAAAACAGAGCAAAAACCCTACTTGTCGTATCCTCTTATACCTGTTTTCTTGGTGCTTGGCTTCTTTTTTCGTCCGGGGTCTTTAGCATCCTTCTTCCTTTTGGTTGGGACTTCAGAAACTTCCTCACATGCTTGTTGTACCTCATTCACAACTTGTTTCTCTAGAGATGAAAGAGTTAGAAGTATATGTGTGTACATACATACATACATACATATACATATATATATACACGCACACACACGCACATATACATACCCACACAAAGGCATGTGTGCCAACACATGTATCAAATTAGCAACTGAACCGTATTTGGACTGACATTAAGGCTTAGAAATCAAAACTTCCTACATGTAAAATTTTACTACTTTTTACATAAGTAAAATGTGCCCTTCTTCTGGATCAAGATGACTTTAGAGATCAACACTTCCTAGACTAAGTAGGATATGGGAAATATGAATGCTCGTAATTGAATCGTAATGGATCTTAGGATCAAACAAGTCCTGTGTCTTGGTATAAATCAGTGATTACTTGGATAAATTCATTTAACATTTTTGCCTACATATTTTTTCCCGTAAAGTGTTCATACAAGAAAATTCCCAGTTAGTTAATACGCGTATAATGCACGTATTATACTTACGTACATATAATACACGTATTATACTCACGTATCCGTATGATTTTCAAAATTACTTTAAGATACATGTATATTTGATACTATACGTATAATACATATTGATTGAATATTTCATTATAAATATTTTTGGTACAACATCAAATATTAATTTGTTCCGACAAACATTTAAACAAAATACCAGTAATATACTTTATATCAGTTACATATACAATACTTAATTATTGTCACAATATTAATATGGAGCATTATATTTACCATTAGAACCATAAAGTTGCTTTTATTTACTTAAATATAAATATTAATTACAAAATTAATTAATTTGAAAATATATACTCTCTACATTATGCAAAAAAAACTTTACACTTTTTTTTGTCAAGTTCTAAAAAAGACTTCACTCTTTCCCTTTATGTCTGTCTCAAAACCTTTATTTTTTTAAGGAATGAGTGACTCACAACTCTTTGTTTTTTTCTAAACAAATTCAAATTATAAAGTTTTTGTTTTTAACATTTTCTTAAAATACATATATGAAAGTCAAATAAGGATTTTTTTTCCTAATGAAGGGAGTATATATATTTTTAGAATAAATGTTTTAAATAAATAGAGATTCTAATTTGAAAAATTCTATTGTAAATATTTCATTTAAAAGATCTTTGCATTTTGTTTATTTACCTTAATATAAATTGATGACTATCATTCGATAAATATGTGTCGATTTGACGTATATATGTTTATATATATATATATATATATAAAATCATATAATAAGACGTATTTTAAAAATAGAAAATATATAAAATGCATACGTATTCGTATCCACATGCCGAACATTTAATATGCATAGTAAGCCATATTTTATAAAATTCTAACGTATTATACACATACGTACATATTGACGTATTATACGTCAGCTGTATATTACTAACTAGTGAAGAAATAAGATACTAACCTTCATTGCAAAAATGAGAATCAAAAACAAAACTAGTAAGCTGCTGCTTCAAGAACACCTGCATGGGAATTCAGAAAAGCTTTAGAGTGAGCAAGCAACCAAACATTACAGATTCAGTACAATATTTTGCATGCAGGCAACCCTATAACATTCACTTTAAAGTTGTTAATTGATGTTTTTCCAACAGCATCTGCTCAACATACCGCAGATAGAAGTTGCCTGGACTTGACATCCCAAATGCGCAAATACCGGTCCAGCCCTATGAACATTAAAAGTGTTTCATATTAATTTTTCTTCTTCGGAAAGGAAGTCTTTTAGAGAATGAAGGCAGCCTAAAGAACAAGAGGAATCCTTGGAGAAGCTCCGGCAACAGTTCGACTTGTAGTGTGGTTGCACCCTAATCAACTGTACTAAGCTTCAACTCCCCAATAAAGGGGAGACAATGTAGTCTACATTTGGTGGAAATAATCGCAAGGCCATGTGTGTACGTGGATTTGGGGGGGGGGGGGGGGNGCATTTTAAACACTTACCACAGGATCCAATCACTGGGAGCTCCGGATGTCTAGCAATGGAGCGTATACTTCCACTAGATTCACCAATGAAGCATCCCAAAAGCTTCCCTAGAGTGTTGTCAAAGATAATTAAATATCCTAATACAACTTAAACTATGAAGAATCAAAATCACTCAATTATGTGCTTAGCTGGAGAATGCTTTAATTGAGGCTACACTTCATATTTATGCCACTTAAGTAAATTTTGCATGTATGCTTATATATATTCATGCAGACTGAGCAACAATAATTTTGGAAGGCAGCCTGCTACGTTTTCATGGCCATAGCTATGTAAGATTAAGTTTGAACTTTGAAAAGTGAGAGGCTGAGAGCCGAACTGCCGAACCCAAAATGCAATAACAAACTTCTAAAGTTGTGTTTCTATTGTAAATATTTCATAATTAAAGTTTCTAATACTAACCTACTTAACACTAGTCCATCAGAACATACTAAAATGTTGTTATCTTGGTACCATGCATACTTATAGACGTATAGACTAAAACCTGCCTGGAAATAAGATATAAAATATGCAACCCAAAAGCACACAGACATGGAAGCATATTGGTGCTCAGGACTGGGATCATGTCACGGATAAAAAAGATGAGTGATGCTGACTGGTGTTTGTTGCAGGGAGAAATTAGCATGTGAAGTTATGAATACAGAAGAAATAATATGGTGGTATTTGTAAGGTAAACGAAATAGAAAATTTAAAATATGCTGAATTCCCTAACCTTATCATTCACATTTGTTCCATGAGATATGTGAGATTGTGAAGTCATGAGGTAGGAAGAGGAAGAAATGGTCATGCAAGCAACTGAATCACGTGAATACTAATCCTATAGGGGTGGAATGAGGTTGCAATGTTGCCTCTCATATACGTAACTAGTGTCATAGAGGCATCACACAAACTCATAAATGTCCTATCGCAACATAATAATAGGAAGTGGATTGTCTGGACTTGCAGAATACAAATCATGATCCTCGGGGAGGGTGGTTGCTCTGCCAATAAGAGTTACCTGTGCGCATATCAAATGAAGCAAGGTCACCCGAAGCAGTCCCTGCATATACTGTCCAGCCATCAAGATCTTCAGCGACAGCTTTAATGGGTGTTTCTCTAAAAACAATTGTTATTACAGGTCTTCTCTGAGCAGAAATATCATAAAGACGAACCTGCAAGAATTGTCAGATGAACTTAATTGACTGCAAATATCATTTGCTCCATCCGTCCCAAAAAGATGTGCCCAGTTTGATTGGCATAAAAAATGTGTAGTTAAAATTTATGAAGAGAAACATTGTGAACCACAAAAAATTCCAAATATAGAATCAGACACATCTTTTTTGGAACGGACCAATAAGGATAACATGCAAGTCTTTTTGGGACACAGGGAGTGTTATACATAGCATTAGAAAGAAAAATGCAGTATAGATCTAAGATACAGATGAGCTCCCTTTAGAACTAATAACCAGCTAAAGAAAAATTTACTAGTTCTATAATACTTTGCACATAATTTTCCAAATCCTAGATACTTAATTGAAGTTGTTGTCCCTAGGTCCCCCTTGTTTTAAGGTGTTGTATAAATAGTTTTCTAATATTGCCTTTAAACACTTAATTCTCCCAAATGACTTCATGATTTCAACAGCAATGATTTTCCAGAGGAGAGAATCATTCTCTAACTATCATGTTATTCATTTTCCTTCTACACTAATGGTCTACAATGAACCAATGATAACATCACTAATATCACTCTTCAGAAGATTTTCTATTACTTGTGTTCCACTTATATTACATGCCCTTCTATCTCCACTTCATTTCATACTCCCTCTGTTCTTAAATAAATGCATCGGAAGAGGCTTTTGCAATAATCATTCACACACATTGATTATCCTTAGTGATTTATATGAAAAGAAAAAAATACTGGGGTCTTGTTAGATTCTTCTTGATATAAACTTTCAGAATAACAACTTTTTATACTCCCTCTGTCCCTTTAATCTTCCTATTTACTATTCTTCTTAGTTACCATTCACAAGGTTAAACTATATCTTCTTTCATCACTTATTTTCGTAAATCATTTGTTACAGTAATAGTTATGTCACCTTTTGTTCTGTAATAAAAAAAAATTATGTAGTTTTTAGAATATATAAATTTCAATGTTAAGTTATACATCAATGTTGAAATAAAATTGAAAATATCAGTTTTAGACCACAATGAAAACATCAATTAGGGATGGAAGGAGTAATATCAACCAAAACATAATTGAAGATATTAATGATTTACTTTATGAATAGGAAAATATGAAAATTTGAATGTTGCATTTATTCAAGAACAGAGGAAGTATATCCAATGAGCTGATGATTGTAAAATCAATAAACTTAAATTTGGTGTATTTAATTGCTTGCAAACATTTTTTCATTTTTTTGATAGCTATGAAGGGCTACTCTATGATTATGTGTTGGCCTTTGGTTTTGTTTGACATTCTGTAAATTGAGTAAGGTGATCATGCTCAGGGAAGACAACCCGAGGAGATTGACACATTATGAATTGCATCTCAGATTAAAATAAAACTAAAGTAGAATGCATTTACAATTATAGGAATTTGGACATCAACGTGAAAACAAAGGAGCTCAATTTCCTAATTAAAAATTTCCCTTTTCGCACTTTCTAGTCCAAAACATTTACATATCAAAAGAGATTATATGAGCCACTTAGGCACTTAGGGATTGGAATTCGAAAGAGAGACTATACATTTAGCAATATACTTGTGGGTGGCAATGTAGCACCACTTTATTCACCCTACGGCTACCCCTTGAAAAGTCATCCGGTTAATCAAGGGTGCACCGTCTAACTAACAATTCAGATGGCAGCAAAGCCTCAAATCTGTTATTTTCTCCTAAGCACTATGTGGGATGCATGCAATTTTTATTCATTCTAGAATCATAACCATTAACAAAAACTTAATTCTAAAAAGAAGAAAGTCAACAGTACTAAAGTACAGGCAACACGGATTGGCAGTACCATATACTCGTTATAAGACCACAGAATGCATTATACTACCTCCGTCCCCAAAAGAACCTCACGGTTTGACTTTTTTGGTCAACTGTGCAAGTGCAACACTTCAATCACAAATTAAATATAGTTTGAAATAACTGAATATTATAAAAATTTGATATGTCGAAACTATGTTTTAAAATGAACCAAATTTTACTAAATTTACATTATAACTAAATATAGAATTTTTTTCAAAATTTATGGTCAAACTGTAACATAATTTGACCAAACAAACTGTGATAATCTTTTTGGGACGGAGGGAGTATGATTTAAAGGGGTCATAGTCTAAGAAGGTACCATGAAAACCACCCCAAAAATGATGATATACAACTTGCAATTAAACAAAGACATACGGAGTACTAAACAAAATCAATATCGGGAAAGATTCACTTGCATAGATCATCCTTAGGTTTAACAGTAACATTGAAATTCAATGCTCAATTACCTGATGGCCATTAGTGCCACCTATAATTTTGCGATGATCATCCTTGCTTAGGAATGTTGCAGATGTAAACCAAGTGGGTTTAAAGACGCCAATACTGTTTGTAGGAGGCTACACTAAGTGAATGTATCAGGTGAAATGTGAGCCAAAGGGCTTAACCGGTCAAATTGTTCATAGCCAGAATAAACTTACAGATTTAGCAGCCCAGACTTTACCACCTTTTTCAAGATCCCACACATTGATTTCAACTCCCTTCCTGAATTTTTAAGGCAAATCCAGCTACCATAAAATAGCTGAAATGATAAAACCAGACTTATTTTCTAATTCAAAATGGTAACATTTCCTTACCCCCCAAATAAAGCGTAACTTTCACTGCTGTCAACTTTGGAGCACAGAGTGTTACCCAAAGCGCATGCTTCCCATGTGGTGAGAGGGGCGTTTGAGGTTGAATCTCCTAGTGACTCAGGCATTTCAACAGTCCTTATGCTTGCATGCCCTTTCATTGTGCATGTGAACAAGGTACATGACCTAATATGAAAAAGAATACTATTTAGAATGACAAATTCCAAACAAATCTGAGAGAAACATATCCATGAGCACATGAAACAAATTACAAAGTGTGTACCTCAATGATGAGTCCAACCTCTGTTTTTGGAATAGATGTAATGCCACAATGGCATCATCATCACTTGCCCTGCTGCTCTTGCTAGAGCTCAGAATCGTAGAGCGAACATCACCAATGATAGAGCTGAGCACCTCAATCTATCAATATAGATATATTAAAATGGCTATAGCAAATGACCATTCGCAATAGTACTATAAAACTGCAATCCCACTTTTATTTATTAAATAGAGCACTACATTTCACATATTCCCCTTTTCATCTGGCAGTTTTTTTTATAATTGTAATTAATCTGCAAGTTTACATGCCACAATGACCAATAATTATATTTGGGGAAGAAAATTACCATGCCGTTTTTTCTTGCAATGCCAAGAAGCTGAAACAAATGAAAATACAACGAAGAAAACATAAGCTCAATTCTATATAAGAAAAGAAAAAACACAGAAAATAAATATCAATAATGATTATTGATTGGCACAGTACAACATACAGGGTCACATTCGCGGTCAATGATGGAAGTGGCAAGAACGCGTCTTGAAGGATCCGGGTCTCCCCACCGCGCCACTACGGCCGGAGCTTCCTCTCTCTTGCCACCTCGAGCTTGAACCACTGTACAAAACTGCAGCTATGTAAGCGATGGGGGGGGGATATGTGGTTTTCCAGTAACGTTAATTGTGAACATTTGAGAGACAAGAATTGCAATTTTGATTGAAGAAAACCTTTGATGAGGCCAAGAACATCAGAGGTTAAGGCTCGGAGGCGAGGGCAGCGTGGGCTTTCGTAGGTAATTGTGTGAGGCATTGTTGCTTCTTCCTCAGCATGCGAAAGGCAATGACTTGATTTGTGTACCTAGTTTTATTACACACAAAACACTGTTGTTCATTATCTTTATTTGGTTCCATTATTTGTCAATCCACAGTGAGCTCAAAAACTTCAACCAAGTATCGTATGCCCTTTTATGGCCCAGTTGGTTCACAGACTAGTACTGGGTGGGTGCAGTCTGTGACGGTTCAGGATTTTCATAGAACTCGTACCGTACCAAAATGGTACGATCCTGACAGTTTCAGGGCCCTGTGCATAACAAAGACCGTGGCCCCATTATACATTGTAGGCTTACAATAACAATTCACATGCTTTATCCCTACTTGAATGTAGAGAGATTGTTTCTTAGAGACCCTAGCTCGAGTAACACATAATGCACATATCACCCAATAAAAATTGAATCAATTTCATATCAATTATTTAATTTATTGCAATGAACATATGAAGTAAAAAACCTAAGTAAAAGTTTATTTAAAAAGATACTCTATTTAGATATTTTTAAGGAATTCTATTTAGATATTTATATGCAAAATCATCGCTTGAATCATTAATTTCTATTTGTATTGATAAGTTTCATAAAAGGAACCAATCTACTTCCATAAATTGTATCTAGAGTAAAAAAGCGACTCATACATCTAAAATAAATTTCATAGAATTAAAAAATTACATTTCATTCCATGAAATTCAATAAATTAAAAAGTGTATTACTTTTGTTAAACAATTTAATAAATTTTGACAATTTTTATTTATTAAAAAATATAATAATTACTTAACAAAATACTAAACATCGTAAATTTCCCCCCAAAAAAAATCATCATGAATCATGAGCTATCTTTTGCAATTACATCTACAATTCAAAAACTAAACACTATCCCACTCAAGAAAATTTTACAAAAACAGCATGATTCATGGACTATAGCCTCCTCAATTACATCACAATTCAAAAACCAAACATTATCATCCTCAAGAATCAAGATTGGCAATAATCTAGCTACTAAGAATTGATGAAAGAATGAATTAGGGTTCATTAACGAACCAAAATATCTCATACCGTGATGATCCTTCGCCTGAGTCTAGCCGGACGTCACCACCCTGCCTATGCTTTGTGCGTCTAGTTTCAAATATTTGGGCCCTCCATTTTTATTGGGCCTGTGCAGTAGCTCATCCTGCACCTGCTATGGGCCGATCCTGGACTTAAATCATCTTGTCCTAGGATGAGGATATTGAGAGCTAAAAGAAGATAGGCATTTTGGGCTATGAAGACTTTTTATGTACTCCCTCCGTCTCAAAAAAATTGGTACATATTGACTTTTTGAGAAATTAAGGGAGGGATATTTTAGTGTTGACTTTCCAAAAATACCTTTGATGTGATGGGTAAAAGTAGGATGTGATGGGTAGATTATTAGGAAAAAGGTATGATGTGATAGGTAGGTTATGAAAAAATAAGAGGTAAAAGTGGTTTTTTAATAGAAATGTAACGGACTTTACAGGACGCAATTTTTTCAAAACGTGTCGGACTTTTTGGGACGGATGGAGTATTTGTTTTGTGCTATGTCTTTTTATGTTTGGTGCTCTATCTATTTTGTAGTGATTTTTTCTTCCTAAACCCTGATTTGTTCTTTGTCTATGCGTATTTTTGTGTTTTATCTGTGTCTTCTCTTCTTTAGGTATTTTTTCCGTGTAAAAGATTAAGATTTTTTTTAAAGAAAAGACTAAGACTAAGTAAGTTAAAGTTGCAATATAGAAAAAACTCTAAAAATAGTGAAATATAACAAAGGTAAGATTAATAATTAATCAATCTATCATTTCAATTGTAACGGTCTGGTTCAGTATTTTCCGTTCTCATTTTTTAGAACATGGTCATGTTTTCTTTAACGTATTTTTATTACTTATTACTTATTTTTATTCGAATCAGATTAGATTAGACCATATCAGATCAAAAATAGTTTAAATATAACTACATTTAGATCAGACCAATTTAGATCAGATTAAAACTTGAAGAAAACCCCCTAAATAGGAGTAAAACATGGATCATATTCTCAAAATAGGAGTTCAAACTTAAACTCCTCTAAATAGGAGTAATTAATTAAATATGTGTTTTGATTAGCCCTGCTGGCCGCGCAAACCACTCCTAGCGATCAAAATTATAGCCCCTTCCCGATTGCAATCTTCAATCTCAAGCGTCATTCTCGATCTTCTTCGTTCCATCCCAGTTGCTGCCGCTTTCACCCCCAATCTCACACCCCTCTCTGCCGCAATCGTCATCTCCGTGTGATGATGATTCAATCTCACTCCGTCCATCTCCCTTTCTCTCAATACAAACGATCTCCTTCCAACCCTCTCCACCATTTTCATCGCCTAGCCTCTAAGCGACGATGCTTCCATCACCTTGTGTAAGTTTGAATTCAATTTTATATTCAATTCGACATAAGTGGTTACATTCAATTTTAAATCTATGAAAATTTACTTAGAAAATTACTTCGTAAAATTGGTACTAATTCTTTCAGCCATGGATAAGTTAGAATTCAATTTTATGTTCAATTTGAAATAAGAGGTGACATTCAATTTTAACTGTGAATTTACTTCTTAGGGGGATTTAGATTTTGTAAAATTGGTATAGAAACTGAATGATTATGGTGTTGGCAAATATATAGTAGAGTTTCTTGACATTAATCTCTTTTTGACATTATGCATTAACATATGTGATATATAAATCATACATTGACATATCTTTCATTATACATTGCCAAGAATGACATTATACAATGTCAAAGTTGGTATTATCTATTTAACTTGTTTAGCATTATGCATTCACATGAATGACTTTATACATTGGCATGATTGTCATTATATGATTACATGTGGCATTGAACCAATGTTAAGCTCAGTGTCATATGTGACATTATATGTTGCCATATTTGGCATTGTGCCTTTATTGACACTATATAGACAATTTAATGTGTTTTATTTCTTTTGCTAAATTCACAAGTGCTTTAGAGAGGAAGATCATATTATTTCTTGCTTTAGGCTGGCGACTAATTCAGAAAGGTTAGTTGTGAATGTCTTTCTTGTAGTTGACCTGTTTTTATATCATTTGTATTCTTTTATTATTTTCTGTACCGAATTAGACATTCTCATTAATTGGTCATTATAAATTGGGTAATATTTTCTCCACAAGATCCCATATTGCTATGCGTCTGATTTAGGTTTTGGGGTTAAAAAATTAGAGTCATTGTTAAGTTAATTACTTCTATTTAGGGGAGTTTAAGTTTCAACTCCTATTTTTGGGATATAACATTTCTTTTACTCCTATTTTGATCCATCTCCCTAAAACTTGTTTCAATCACATTAGAACCGTTCAAATCAAGTGGAAAGAACATGACATATGTTATGTCCTGCATCATTTTAACAACGAAATGGTCTGGTTCGAAATATTCTTTATTGGAACCATTTGAAAACTCATTTGCTAGTTTGACCATGTCGGTTTGATTTGAAAAAATGCCGGGTCGGTATTTTTGCTCACCCCTACAAATTTTGGGTGGTTCGACTTTATCCAAAATTAAAGACAAAATATAAGGTAAGCTGGTAGGTTGGATCGATCCTTATTTTCAAAAAACATTGTAAGCCATTGGTTATTAGTTCCAATTTAATATGGTTCAAGTTTTTTTAATACTGGTTTTAATGGTGTAAATTAATTTACTAGACTACAAATTAAAGCTTTAGACCGGGTTTAGGGCGATGGCCTAAGTCGAGAAACTAACTAACACATTGAACGCGAAAACAACACCTTTTTACGGTGATGCATAATAATTCTAACTTTACTAAAATTTGTGAGTTCTGGATTGCCGTTAAGTCGCTAACGACGACCTAATGAAAATAATTTGTTTTTAGCAACAAAATGAAAATTGAGATTATTTTTTATAAATTTTTGTTTTTTATTTTGTTTTTAATTTACATTTACATTTTTAAAAATTACTTTCTACCTCCATCAGATATATTTTTTTAAAGATTGGTCTTACTTTAGAAAAAATAAAAATAATATAGATAAAAAATAATGAAAATGAGAAAAGAAACTAAAAGGATACAAAATTGATGAAATTAATAAGGTAATTAATAGAAAGTTACTTGAAACTGATAGGAAATAAAATAAAAATATACGAATTGGTGTCCTTTAATATTTTAAGTGCTATACAAAGTATTAACATATTACTTCTTCTTAGTTTTTAGAAAAAATTATGTTGAACCATTCCAATTTTTAAAATCTATTTTTAGAAAGTCATTCTAAAAATGTAAATGAAAATTTCAAAAAAATAAAAAAAACAAATTCACAAAAAATAATCTCAAATTTCATATTGTTGTGCAAAATAGGTACTTTCGTTAACTCGCCATTAACAACTTAACAAGTCAAAAATCTCAAAAATTTCAATGAAGTTGAAATTATTATTTTTAAAAAACCAGATAAATTTGGTACTCCCTCCGTTCCTCATAGATCTGCTCAATAGCCCTTTTTTTGTCCACAATAGTTCTTCTCATTTCATTTTTTAACAATTAAAATATCATAACTACCCCCACTTACTTTATTTATTACACCTCACCCACCTAATTTAATACACTCCACCCATATTTCATTAAGAGTATTATGGTAAACTTTCACCTTTTTTCAACTCTCCTTAAAAACCACCAAAAGTCAAAATGAGAACATCTTAGGGGGACGGAGGGAGTATTATTTTAGATCATTTTTTCTTAATAAAAAAAAAGTAGAGGCGGGCTTCCTTTACTTTTCAATCAACAGTCCAACGTGTCATCTTGAACTTCTTTACAAATTCTGCGTACGGAGCCATAACAATTCCGACCGTTGCAAATATAATTAAAAAATAAAAAAAAATTGTACCCCTAAAAAGAGTAAAATATAAACCGCTCCATCTCTCCCAAGTTCAAATCGCTGGAAAGATTCACGCCATTGAAAAATCGCCCTTTTCTTCCTTCCTTCTCTCTTCCTTCTCTCGTTCATCAACAAAACACAAATCCTTGATTTTAATGGCGATCGCAGCTGAGACTCAGCCTGAAGATCAACACAAGGTAATCTTCTTCTTCTTCTTCGTTCCTTTCTCCCAGGTAATGTTTGATTTTAAGCCTTGATTTTAATGAACGTTCATGTAATTTTAGGGATTTAGAGGAGTTTCAGAAATTCACATACGCTCTTCTTTTTTTTTGCGGAATTAGGGTTTATTGTGTCGATTAGTCTGTAATTACTGAACTTGATTGTTGATGTACTTGCATTTCTAAGAGGGAATTGTTGTAAAGTTGCCCTAGAGTATGGAATTATTGACAACTTTTTTGCGATTATTGATGGAATTAGTTGCGCATTCATGGTTGGCACTACTGTTTGGCATTTTTTTTTGAATGAGTTTTACAGAGATTGGCCTCACCAGAAAGGATTAGGATTCTATGAAATCGTGGGGAAGAGTCTCTGAAAATTTTACCTTTTTGGCCAACTAATGGCACCAGCTTTGAGTTAACTTTGTTATTGTGACTTAGTTTCATAATATGCTCATGTATTAATTAATATGTCCACAGGCTCCACAGGAAGGCGCGGGGGAGGAGAAAAAGAGGTGGACTCTCAATGATTTTGACATTGGAAAGCCCCTTGGGCGAGGAAAGTTTGGTCACGTCTATTTAGCTAGGGAGAAGAGGGTAAAGTGACATTTTTTTCTAACATGTGGAATATAATATACAGCATTGCCTTGATCACTATTTAAATTTAAGGCGAGATACCTTTTTCTGATTTTTTTAGCTACTGGTATATGCAAAAATGAAAGTGAATTTAATCTTGAATGCCGTGAATATTTTGCTCTTCATATAGTTGGACAGTTGGTTGAAATATTCTGCATGTAGTGGCTCATTAAGCATGTTATATACTTTTATGGCTACTTCGATATGTGCTCGCATTCTTCTGAGGTCTCATTGCCTATACTTGAAACTGGAAGTGAATATGAACTTGAAAGGTCATTGTTGGGATTTTAAGCGCGTAAGATACCGAAAAATATTGAGAACACCAGAAAAATGAGAGAACAAACTCAAGAAAAATATATGAGAGAAAAAAATTATATTTCCACTATTTCAGGACAATATACAAAAAACTCTCCCCTGTTTACAAGACTAAATTTCAAACACTCATAAACAGATCTTTCTACATCCTATGCCCGGATGTATTTTTCCGAGTAACTAAACCAGTTACTCCCTACACTCACCCACACTCACCAAGACCACTTGGATTTTCCCAGTGATATTCTTGTGCAGAACCCTCTTCATCTTCTCTTTCTACCTTGGTGTGTAAACCACACACCCACAAATACACCGTAGCCTCTCCATTTTAAAGGACAAGGAGAACACAATTATTTGCCCCAATCAATTTGCTACAGGAGAGAACATAATCACATGCATACTTCCACTTTTTTAACTCCACTCATGGAGTACTTTTGCTTTCCCTTTGTCAGGATCCTTTTTTTTTCTTTTTGATTTTTCTTTTCTTTCTTTTTTTTTCTTTTGATTAATTAATCAAATTTCCCAACAGTCATGAATTCTCTGATCTTTATATAGTTTCTTTTAAATCCTCTCGTATGTGGAAGTTCATCACTCAGTATCTATGGCTACTATGAAATGTAATGGCATTCTTACGAGGTTTTCTACATACACATGTGACATTGAGGGTGAATTTGTTTTTTTTTACTTTGAAATTTTTTGTCATGAATTCTTTGATTGTCTTAGAGTTTGGTTGAAAAACATCTGATATATATAGAAGAAACCCAATTAGCAGCTATCATCATAACAATGCACTGTTTTGTTAATGCAGAGCAATCATATTGTGGCACTAAAAGTTCTGTTCAAGACCCAGCTAAAACAATCCCAGGTTGAGCATCAACTTCGCCGTGAAGTTGAGATACAAAGCCACCTCAGGCATTCAAATATACTGAGACTTTATGGCTATTTTTATGATCAGGTAATCTATGCTTTTCATTTCATGGCAAGCAGTACTTTGGTTTATTCAATCTGTGAAGCAAAGAGGAATTATGGTTGGACATACGCATTTATTTTCATTTGCAGAAAAGGGTGTATTTGATTCTGGAGTACGCAGCAAAGGGTGAACTCTACAAGGAATTGCAGAAATGCAAATATTTTAGTGAAAGGCGTGCTGCTACCGTGAGTATTACTGCTGTTGTTATACTTTTTACAGAGTATTTAAAACGTCTAGACTGATAAATGCTGACATGCTCATATTTTTCTTAAACATGTGATAGTATGTTGCATCTTTAGCTCGAGCTCTCATATACTGCCATGGAAAACATGTTATACACAGAGATATCAAACCAGAGAATCTTTTGGTTGGTGCTCAGGTCAGCTACATATACTTCTCATTTTTAGCACACTTTCCATGTTCTTTCTAAATAATTACAGGAAATTGATCCAACCATTTTCTATGTCAGGGTGAACTTAAAATTGCTGATTTTGGTTGGTCTGTGCACACATTCAATCGCAGACGGACTATGTGTGGAACTCTTGACTACTTGCCTCCTGAGATGGGTAATTTTGCTACCTCCTGAATAATACAGCTTGTCATGTACAAACTTGAACAACTGATGTTATAATAGAAGTTAAGAACTGCCTATTTGTCATCTGTCTCAATAAAAAAAATTAGGCTTTGGGCTTTGCATCAAACTCATGTCATTTAAATTTACAGTGGAGAGTGTTGAGCACGATGCAAATGTTGACATATGGAGCCTTGGTGTCCTCTGCTACGAGTTCCTCTATGGAGTGCCTCCCTTTGAAGCAAAGGAACACTCAGACACTTACAGAAGGTAAAAATAAAAGGGGAAAAACAAATACTCGTAGAAAAAAAACTGATTTCTGCTAATGTGAATGAGTAAAGAAGAGTAATTCTATTCTAGTGCACCCAAGTTTAAGATAACAATATAATGATCCTTTAACTGCAACAACTTCAGAAACTTACAGTATCACTGTTCCCTGGTTCACATTGTTTATTTTTGTAATGGATTGCACAGAATAGTTCAAGTTGATCTGAAATTCCCTCCCAAACCCATCGTCTCCTCAGCTGCAAAGGACTTGATTAGTCAGGTTAGATTTCTTTATCGCGACTACCATTACAATGCTACCATTTGTGTATTACTTCATTCCTACTACTACAAAAGACCCATTCAATTGATTGTTAGATTTGATTTTTTCGGTGTCGAATATTTGGTGGATGGGCAGATGCTAGTAAAGGACTGTTCACAGCGTTTACCATTGATCAAGGTACTCGAGCATCCGTGGATCATCCAAAATGCCGATCCGTCCGGAGTATTCAAGGGTTGATTGATTCATTCCCCCTCCCTTTGTCATCTTTGGGTCATCCATCCAGTATGCTTATCCTTGTGGTATTCTTATTAAGGTTCGGTTGATCCGGTCTCATGTCTTTTAATGCCTGCCAAGTTATTCATTTGGTTTCTGGTGCAAACAGATTTTGTCCATTGGTGATTTTCAATGTGGATTTGAGTGTAGCAAGTTACCATCATATATAGTTGTCATTCTTTTCTCTCTTGTATAAAACTAAAAGTGTGTTTTATTTAATCAACACTCTCGTTTCACGTTGAAGCAGTTAAAAATTGATTTATTTTATTATTATTTAAAACTGAAATTATAAATTTGTCAACTCGAGATTTTAAATTCTATAACCTGGGAAAAGAAATTGAATTCGGCAATTTGAATTCTGCGAGTGAAATTAAAATTAAGTTAATCCTTTTCGGGTCATAATAATGAAACATGGCTGTAGATTTTGGGTCTTAAAGATTTAAAGTATAAACTTTTAAATTTAAAACTTAAATTTTAAAATTAAAAACAAAAAATTAAAACTAAAAATTAAACTTCAGGACAAAAAATTAAAAACTTAAAAATTACAAATCAAATTTTGAAAATAAAAAATCCTAAAACAAAAAATTAAGATTCTAAAATCAGAAGTAAAATACTCTAAACAAAAAATTAAACATTACAAATTTATAATTTAATATTTAATATTCAAAATTTACAATTTACAATTTAAAATTTAAAATTTACAATTTAAAATTTAAAATTTAAAATTTAAAATTTAAAATTTAAAATTTAAAATTTAAAATTTAAAATTTAAAATTTAAAATTTAAAATTTAAAATTTAAAATTTAAAATTTAAAATTTAAAATTTAAAATTTAAAATTTAAAATTTAAAATTTAAAATTTAAAATTTAAAATTTAAAATTTAAAATTTAAAATTTAATATTTAAAATTTAAAATTTAAAATTTAAAATTTTATTTCATAAATTTTCTAAAAGTTAATATGTCGAAACAATTTTGATATAAGTGAAAAGTTCTGATCTCAAAATTAAAATTTTCATTTCATAGATACTTCGTCCGTAATAAGTTTTTAAAAAATGATAAGGTAAGGTCTAAACAATTTTAACCCGTGATAAGTTTTGAGGATTAAAATTTTCATTTCATAGATACTTCGTCCATAATTTTTAAAAAAATGATAATGTCTAAACAATTGAACACGTGATAAGTTTTGAGGATTAAAATTTCATTTCGTAAAAAAAATATTAAAAATTGATACTCTATCCGTTCTAATTTAAATTGTTTGTTTCAGTGTATGATGTTTGACTGAAGTTACTGTCAAATCATTTTATATAAAAAATTGTGTAAAATTTAAAAATATAAATTATATATTTAAAAGTACATCAAAAGATCTACAAAGTATTGGTGACAAGACTGTATTATTTTATCAAATGTCTAACAAAAATAGGAAAAGACAAGGAATAATATTTGACTCTGGAATTAGTAAACAGACAATTTAAATCAGGACGGATAGAGTATCTCTAAACAAGTTAAACAATCGATTTGCCCCACCTCCTACATAAAAGAAACAATTTCTTAGTATTAAGAATAATAGAAGTAATATTATTAATTATTTTCCTTATTATAATGCTTTCATAATTATTATTCTGATTACGATTCTCTTTTCTATTATTTATATATAGTTATGAAATTTACATTATTTAATAACTTATCAATTATTATTAAATCGTATCATGGTATAGAAGCAAAAGCCAAAAGTTGCTCCCTCTCCAAAATTCATTATGTGTGTCTTATAGCCGCCACCAACCCCGACGAACATGCCTAATAGCCATCATCACTTATCCATCTATTTCTCTCCAAAAAATCTTTAATCCATCTCTCTCCAAAAAAATCAAGCGCGTGACCGAATAACTAAAAATTTGCATTTATTTATATTTCTTTTAGAGGTCAAAGCATAGAAAACGATAGAAAAACAGAGAACAGACTAGAAGGCGCTCCAGACACCAGCACTCTCCCTAAAAAATCTCAACAAACATACTTTCAAGAGGCAAAGAAGATTTGCTTATCTAATTCTAGCGGTTATCCTTACAAAACCGCTTCTGCTGGCTCCATTCATGTACATGTGATCCAAGCTACTTATCATTACCGCGAGTCAGCTTACAAAGATATTATAAATAATAGAAGTATTCGGAAACAATTATTATTATTATTATTATTATTATTATTAACTACTTTCCTTATTCAGTGCTTCTTTATCACACCCTACCCATACCCTACATTACTTTTGTGGAATTATAAACAGAGGTAAGATCCGTGTTTAAACACACCTACAGAGACCTTACTTTCGTGGGACATACTGATTGTTGTTACTCTTGCTAATTATTACTATATGTCTCCTTAAATATTTGTCTATTTTTGACCTTTATTGTGGTTAAACTGACTAACTTTGATCATTAATTAAATAACATTCATACTACATTCGTCTCGCGGTATTTGTTCATTTTTACTTTTTTTTGCAATAAAAAATAATTATTTTGACCATTAAATTATATTTATAATAAGTATCAATATAACTGATCCATAATAGAAGACTATTTGAGGGGATGAACACAACTAATGGCTACACTGTGAAGGATGGTTATAACTGGGGTAAGGGAGTAAGGGAGAGAGTGGACTGGGCAAAGGTGGTCTAAAGCAGATGGTCATTACCCAAGCATTAGTTTATTGCCTATTGCCTGACTAATATGAAAAGGGAGGATCCAAACAAAGGATAGACTTAGCAATTTCCTCTCTATTGATACCACTTGTGTGCTGTGTGAGAAAGAGATGGAATCTGCTCACATTTTCTCACCGCCGCCGCTGGTAATTCCAGCGACGGCGGCTCCACCCTATTCACCTCTATTTTCTTTTCCTTCTTTATCTTCAAATCAACTTCTCCATTCAAATGAAAAAAAGAAAAAAAACTCCTATTGAAATCACATAAAAAAACTATCGAATGAGGAACTTCTCTCTTGTCATCTCCATGGTTCTTCAAAAAAAAACTCAACACCTCACAAACTCTCTTAGATCTAAAAAAAAGGAAAAAAAATGATTGTTGTTTCTCTCCAATTCACCACATCAAAATCTCAAACCCAAATGTTTTTTCCATCACCAATTCTTAACCTACTTTTTCTCTCAAAAATCACTTATTCCAATCATCAACCTCCCTTCTCTTTCTCTTGTGTTGAATCATTAAAAAATCCAAAGTAAATCAGCACAAAAGCAAAGCCAAGAGGGGAAGTAGTGAAAGAGGAAATAAGACCTCTACTACTCACCCCTTCAAGAAGGAAATAGGGCATTGCCCGGATCCAAGAAAAAGACAAAAAATGTCAAAGATCTTCAGTCAAACAGGCTCCTCTAATAGCTTTCTCTATTCTTTTTCGACGTCAGCAGCTACAAGCGCACGTCAACCTTCTCTCATCTTCATCGACATCAGCAGCTACTAGCGCACGTCAATTTCTCTCTTCTCCAACGACGTTAGCAGCTACCAGTGCACGTACATCAGGCTTCTCTCTTCTCCAACGACGTCAGCAGCCACCGGCGCACGTCAGATTTCTCTCTTCTCCAACGACGTCAGCAGCCACCGGCGCGCGTCACACTTCTCTCTTCTCCAACGATGTGAGCAGCCACCGGTGCATGTTAGACATCTCTCTTCTCAAAGTTTCTTGTTTCCAGCTAGTGTCCAAGCTTCCACTTGCTTCAACCAGAGTTCAGCTTGAGGGGGGATGTTAGACAATATTATTAATAGTACTTCTTGTGGTATTGGTTATGGTAGTGTTTCATTATTAGTCAGCTTCCTAATCCTATTTGTGGTAGATGTTGTATGTTAGTTAGTTTCCATTCTTTATTCCTAGTTGTGTTAGGTGTCTCTCTTATATATACACTATCATGTACTCCATAATTCAATGAGCAATATTAATATTCCAATATTTCAACATCATATGCTAAAGCAATTCATGGGAATATGGCAAGTAAGCTTAAGTTAATGTGCATGCTCACTCTGCCAAGGAATTGGGGAGGAAGATGGGGTTGGGAAGAGGTAGAAAACAAAAATGGCGCATGGCTGCATACATTACAGCATGTTGTTATTTCATATGGAAAACTAGAAATGAAAAGATTTATAATGGCAAAAGGATCAAAGAGGAACTTACATTTCGTTAGATTAGTGAAATTGTAGGTATGCCACTTGGTGGTAGAGGGCATGGGAAAGGGACCTTGATGGGAAGTCTGTTTTAATAGAATGTATTGGTTATGTGAGGGTGTTGGTATGTAGACTATATTGTTGCTTTGGAATGGAGAATTATTTGTCCTTGGTTCAAAAAAATATAAGAATAAATTTATTAAGTTTATTTTGTAAAGTATTTTCAAAGTAATATTTTATCTAATTAATGCATCGTGTGATTTTTTTAGTAAGGCTCTGTTTCGTACGCCTAATCTAATTGAATCTGATCTGAATTTTTTGAAGTTCTGATCTGATTGGATCTGATCTGATTGGATGTGATCTGATTGGATCTAATCTGATCTGATTGGATCTGATCTGATCTGATTGGGTTTGATCCGATCTGATTGGGTCTGATTTGATCTGATTGTGTCTGATCTGATCTGATTGGATTTGATCTAATCTGATTGGATCTGATTTTATCAAATTAGATCTGGTGTAAATGAATTTAAATTTGATTTAAATTAAACTTAAAATTATTACAAAATTTAATAGTTTTAAAGTATTACAATTCATATATACGTAAAAAAGTAAAATAAGAAATCAGCTAATCATTGATATGTTTAAACTTTTTTAAAAAATATTAAACATTTTTTCAATATCACAGCTTTTTTAATTTTTGAGAAAATGAAATAATTGGTATTAAAATAACCAAATATTAGAAAAATATAGATGCTATTCTACCAAAATATCACATTCTATATGCATATTACATAATAATATTTTTCATGTTACAAATTAAAGATCATATAAAATTTTAAACATTAATATTCCTTTCACCTGTATCAGTTTTGTCATAAACTCACCCTTGTGTATATTATACTATCTTAAAGTTTAAAAGTAAGTCTTTTTAACTATAAAATATTTATGGTTTTGAAAACTAAGTTTTGTATAATTATTTTATAAGCAAGTATTTTAAAATAACTCTTTTTAAAGTATGAAAAATCTAATTTTTTAAGCTTTAACATTGCTTCCATGCATCATTTCTATCCTACAAGCTAAGCAATTATTAAAAATAATGGTTTGTAGTTGAAATATAATAATAATAACAACAACAAAACCAACAATAATATAACAACAATAATAATCAAAATTGTAATATTAATTAAGATTTTGGTGTGTGTAGTTTTAAATAAAGTAATGTGATTTAATCAAATAATAGTAATTATTATTTAATACTTGAAAAATATAAATATTATGTTTTAATATTTTTTCTTGATTTGATATTATTGGATTCGATCTGGTCTGATCTGATTGAATCTGATCTGATCTAATTGGATATCTGATTGGATCTGATCTGATTGGATCTGATCTGATCTGATTGAGTCTGATCTGAATAATCTGATCTGATCGGATTGGATCTGATCTGATTAGGTCTGGTCTGGTCTGATTTTAATAAGAGTAAGTAATAAGTAGAAAAAATAAGTCATACGGAACGGACCCTAACTCTTATGTCAAGTGGAGGACCTAGAAAAGTTCGATGAGTTATTTCACATTTTGTGCACAAAAGTAAAATGTTGATATTTGTATAGCAATAAATCTAAAACCTTAAAGGTAAAAAAGTATCAATAAATATCATTCAGAGATTAATATTGTGAGTTGTATGTAATATTTTTGAAATATTGTAAAAAATATAATATGTTCATTGTTTTAACTAAAAAAAGAAAAAAAACTAAACAACTAAAGTACTAATTCTAGACTATATTTTAGGAATCTTTTTAAAGCAATTAAACTTGTTTATACATTTAAAAAAAAGTTGAACATTTTATTATCAAGTTTCATAATGAAAGTTAAATTCGTTTTCTAAATTTAAAGGAACTAAAACAAAAAATTCCACACAACTATAGAATGTGTCATCTGTTCCATTTTTAAAGAATAACACCTAATCACATATAAATATACTCTCATGGACATCGCATTTAGTTTACATATAATACCTAGTTACATATACTACTACTAATAAATAATTTTTTTAAGAATGGGTGCAAGTGACCCCACTTGCACCATCCTACGTCCGCCCCTGCTTATATTTATTAGTATAATATCTGTTCAATCTTATAATCTCAACTTCTTAAGCGAACATTGAATGTAGAGAAGCTTGAAGTGTCTATCTTGTCACTACACCAACATGCTTCCGCCCATGTGATTTTTATTTAATTATAGGTCAAATGCAAATCATTTTTAATTGTAAATAGTTAAAACTGAACAAATATTTCAAGACGGAGGGAGTTTTATATATTGATATAAAAATAATTTTATTAAATTTATTTTACAGAAAAAGACTAAACTAGAATTAAAAACATAGAAAAATATACTGTATCAAAATATGAGTATCATGTTTTTATTTCAACTCTTATTTTTATTTAAGGTGATTTCTATTAATTTTATTTTTAACTCTTTTAGTCCAATAAAACATTTTACTTACACTTCTTATTCGTCTCAAAAGAACTTTTCTATTTGACTTCAATAAGCATAAATGTCCTTATTTTTTTCGTAAACATAACAAAACTATCACAATTACCATTTACATCCTACCCTTAACTATTCATTTCAACTGTTGCCGGTTCCTATTTCTTTTACAAAAAGTCAAAACAAGAAAAAATTCATGAACCGTTATAGTATATATATATTATTAAAGAAAAAAAAGTATATTTAAACCATTATACTTGCATGACCAGATAGAAGAAATGATTAAATTAATACATTAAAACAAATCATTTAACATGTCAATTTATCCATTTCTTCTATCTGACCTTGTAAATTATAGTTTTAAATATTCTAAACTTTACCGTGCTTTGGCGATATAGCGATCCTGGAAGGCGTTGATTAAGAAGAAGAATACTGTTATAATTACGGTGTGGGTCAGATCCTAAAACAAGGTAAACTTCTTCGTTTCTTTCTCCCAGGAAAAGTTTGATTTTAAGCCTTAGTTTTAATGAACGTTCATATGATTTTAGGGATTTATTGGAGTTTCTGAAACTCACCTACGTTTTTTATTTTGTGGAATTAGGGTTTATTGTGTGATTCATCTGTAAGTACTGAACAGTCTGAACTTGATTGTTGATGTACTTGCATTTCTAAGAGGGAATTGCTGTTACGTTGCCCTAGAGTATGGAATCATGGGCCATTTTTTGTGATTATTGATGGATTTAATTGCGCATTCATGGTTGGCACTTCTGTTTGGCATTTTTTATTTTTTATTTTTTGAATGAGTTTAACAGAGATTGGCAATCACCAGAAAGGATTCTATGAAATCGTGGGGAAGAGTCTCTGAAAATTTTACCTTTTTGGCCAACTAATGGCACAAGCTTTGAGTTAACTTTGTTATTGTGACTTGGTTTCATAATATGCTCATTTACTGTTTTACATAATATGTCCACAGGCTCCACAGGAAGGCGCGGGGGAGGAGAAAAAGAGGTGGACTCTCAATGATTTTGACATTGGAAAGCCGCTTGGGAGAGGAAAGTTTGGTCACGTCTATTTAGCTAGGGAAAAGAGGGTAAAGTGACATTTTTTCTTTAACATGTGGAATATATTTCCTTGATCATATATTAGATTTAAGACAAGATACCTTTTTCTGGTTTTTTTTAGTTATATGTGAAACTGAAAGTGAATATTTTGCTCTTCATATAGTTGGACAGTTGGTTCGAATGTTCTGCTATGTAGTGGCTCATTAAGCATGTTATATACTTTTATGGCTACTTTGATATGTGTTGGCATTCTTCTGAGGTCTCATTTTCTATACTTGAAACTCGAATGAAATTTAAACTTGAAGGTCATGAATTCTCTGATCTTTATATAGTTTGTTTTAAATCCTCTCGTATGCAGTAATGTAGAAGCTCGTCACTCAGTATCTATGGCTACTATGAAATGGAATGGCATTCTTACAAGGTTTTCTACATACAACTATATGTGACATTGAGTAAATTTGTTTTTTTCTTTACTTTGAAATTTTATGTCAAGAATTCTTTGATTGTCCTAGAGTTTGGTTAAAAAACATCTGATATATATAGAAGAAATCCAATTAGCAGCTATCATCATAACAATGCATCGTTTTGTTAATGCAGAGCAATCATATTGTGGCACTAAAAGTTCTGTTCAAGACCCAGTTAAAACAATCCCAGGTTGAGCATCAACTTCGCCATGAAGTTGAGATACAAAGCCACTTCAGGCATTCAAATATACTGAGACTTTATGCCACTGAGACTTTATGCCTACTTTTATGATCAGGTAATCTATGCTTTTCATTTCATGGCAAACAGTACTTTGGTTTATTCAATCTGTGAAGCAAAGAGAAATTATGGTTGGACATGTGCAATCGTTTCTGTTTGCAGAAAAGGGTGTATTTGATTCTGGAGTATGCAGCAAAGGGTGAAGCTCTACAAGGAATTGCAGAAATGCAAATATTTTAGTGAAAGGCGTGCTGCTACCGTGAGTGTTGTTGTTATACTTACAACAGAGTATTTAAAAACATCTAGACTGATTTAAGTGACAAGGTCATTTTTTATTAATACATGTTATAGTATGTTGCATCATTAGCTCGAGCTCTCATATACTGCCACGGAAAACATGTTATACACAGATATCAAACCAGAAAATCTTTTGGTTGGTGCTCAAAATATGTTATACACAGAGATATCAAACCAGAAAATCTTTTGGTTGGTGCTCAGGTCAGCTACATACACTTCCTAATTTTAGCGCACTTTCCATGTTGTTTATAAACATTTACAGGAAATTGATCCATGCATTTTCTATATCAGGGTGAACTTAAAATTGCTGATTTTGGTTGGTCTGTGCACACATTCAATCGCAGACGGACTATGTGTGGAACACTTGACGACTTGCCTCCTGAGATGGGTAATTATGCTACCTCCTGAATAATAGCAGCATGTTATGTAGAAATTGAACAACTGATGTTAGAATAGAAGTTAAGATCTGCCAACTTGTCATTTGTCTCAATAAAAGAATTAGGCTTTGGGGTTTGCATCAAACTGATGTCATTTAAATTTACAGTGGAGAGTGTTGAGCATGATGCAAATGTTGACATATGGAGCCTTGGCGTCCTCTTCTACGAGTTCCTCTATGGAGTGCCACCCTTTGAAGCTAAGGAACACTCAGACACTTACAGAAGGTAAATAAAAGGGAATTTGAATGAGTAAAGAAGTGTAATTCTTTCCAGTACACCCATGTTTAACATAACAATATAAAAGGTTCATTATACTCTTACATCCAAGGAGCTTAAGTATTTGGTCGCGGTCAGAGTATAATGATCCTTTAACTCCAACAACCACAAAAGGTTACAGTATCACTGTTCCCTGGCGCAAATTGTTTGTATTTTTAATGGACTGCACAAAATGTTTCAAGTTGATCTGAAATTCCCTCCCAAGCCCATTGTCTCCTCAGCTGCAAAGGACCTGATAAGTCAGGTTAAACTTCTTAATTGCTGCAACCATTACTATGCTACCAGTTGTGTATTACTACATTTTGACTACAAAAGACTTGTTAATTTGTTTGTTTGATTGATTTTTGCTGTCAAATATTTGGTGGATTGGCAGATGCTAGTAAATGATAGTTCACAGCGTTTGCCATTTTTCAAGGTACTTGAGCATCCCTGGATCATCCAAAATGCCGATCCGTCTGGAGTTTATAAGGGTTGATTGATTCATTCCCCCTCCCTTTGTCATCTTTGGGTCATCCAAAATGCTGATCCATGTGGTATTCTTATTAAGGTTTGATTGATCCCGTCTCATCATCTTTTAATGGCTGCCAAGTTATTCATTTGGTTTCTGGTGTAAACATATTTGTCCATTGGTGATTTCAATGTGGACTTGATTGTAGCAAGTTACCATCATATATAGTTGTCATTCTTTTCTGTCTGTGCTATAACTATATTTGCTTTTTTATCAATTCTTTATTTTCAAGTGGAGCAATTATTCTTTTCTATCAACACTCTAATATGCACCAAACAGAATAGAATTAAGTTACAGTTTGTCATTCTTTAAGTATAAAAAGTTACAATTTGTCATGTTTGTCTAACTTGTACTAAACAAAATGGAAACTAGTGAAAATCAAACATAATTCTAACAAATTGGAAAACATAACAAAACGGGTAAACTGAACCAAACGAAACCTACAAAAACTGAACTACGGAGCTCAACCTACACAGGCATCCCTAATTCCTGAGTTCTTATCCTCCATATTATGGCTCCATTTTGAATCAACGTTAGAGGTTAGCATTAGTGTTTTGAAAATGTTTTCTGATGGTAGCCTTTAAAGTTAGCGTTTCAGAATTTATTTACACGATTAGAATTTTATCCAAAATGCTAATGCTAATCAAAAATATTGTTCCCAGAGAAGATCTACATTACCGGATGTATGGTGTTTAGTGTGCATTTGCTTCTGTTACCATTTACAAGTTACATAAGGAGTAATATTTATTTCACACATTTATTTGTTTATGCATACTTTGAAGATACTATCTCTATCCCTTAGTATTTGTCTATAAATTAAATTAAATTAATCTTAGATATTGATATAAAATAATTTATTAGGTTTATTTTATATAATACCTTCAAAATATTGTTTTATGTAACTAATATATCATATAATTTTTATTTAATTCGAGATCAAGTATTGAAAAATGATTGACAGTAAAAAAGTTAAAATTGGATAAACGGTACTATCTCAAGCCCTTATACTAATAATAATTCCATCGCTCCAATATATATTCCCATCAGTATATCTTATCTATAATTCGTATACTTTATATTGTAGTTCATTACATGCAATATATTTTTTTTACAAATAGGATACAAAATAACCCAATCATTATCAATATCCATTTTCAAAACAATTTCTTTCTTTTAAGCTTTGAAGTTTGAAGATTTTTTTATTAGATATATAGTGCTTATTTTCTCAATATATTTATCCAATTTGATTTTTACAATGACACAAAATTTTTTTGATCATTATTTAAATCCAATATTAGTATAAAAGTTAATTTGATTATATCTATCTTGTACTCCATAATATATTTTCAAGGAATTACTCCTTTATTTTAATTTAAGTTATTTGTTCACTATTTACATGATTAGACTTTATTTAATTTATTTACCTATTTTCGTTAGTCATTTAATAAAATTGTATAGTGATGTCACATTTTGTTTCATAGAATATTTGATGTAGTTTTAAATATTACGGAGTAGTATATACCTTTAAATTTTTAATTACACTCCAAATTTTAGAAAAAATAAATTAAAAATAAATCCGGTCAAAAAAAGAAATTTATTTTGGAGGCGAGAGTGTATTTTATAAATAATCATGAATTCATGATCAAGTTTGTCTAAAGATTTGCATGACTAGCTCCGTTTTTTAAAAAATTAATATGTGTGAATTGCATCCCTTCCAATGGATATAATCAAATTGTATAATTTAATATATTATTATTATTATTATTATTATTCAATTAATTTTATCCCATTTGGAAGGGATGCAAATCAATTGAATCAATTTTTTTAATTTAAGGCAAACAATAGTTTAATGCAAGCCCATCGCTAAGAACGAGGGACATATACGGCTATAATTATGGTGTGGGAAAATATCATTCTTCTTGGTAAGGTTTTGAATACGGCCCGGTTCCGTGGCCACTGGATTCCAGTGGCCATAGAACCGGGTCGTTTTGAATAATGTGTAAAATTTCATTATTTTAAAAAAATTATCTTAAATAAGAGTAAAACATAGACAAATTATTAAAGTGGGAGTTCTATGTTTTTGTCCCTAAAATAAGAGTTTGCACTGTAGTAATGTGGCATTATATATAAATATTTCACAAAACTTTTTGGCAATATATGATCAAGATTGACACTGTATATGTATTTTAAATTCTATTTTGATAATAAAAATATAGGACCTCTATTTTGGTATATTTTCTATGTTTTATCCATAATTTAGTTTTTTTCTTTTTTTTTGAAATTATTTTAATTAAAAATCGATATAAGGATAAAAAGTACACCATTCAAAAGTGTATAAAGAAGTCCATAAATTAAAATAAGAGGTGACAAGAATATTTTATTTTATTAAATCATGAATAAAAATATACAAACAAAAGTAATCGATAGATCGCAATAATAACTTGCAAACGAGAGACTTCATTCATCTCTGGGAGTGAAAGAAACTCATTGCATACCGATTTGTTAAGGAATCAACTCAACTAAAAGTTTAAGCTTGTATTTGTAAACTTACAAAGAGTTATATACTCCAACAAGTTCCCTCAAGCAAAAATTGTTTTTTTCTCACTTTTATAAAATAAAAATATAAAGGGGAAGGTATCTTAACGTTAATTAGTGCTCTTTAAAATATGTAGTGCTTCATATGGTATATTCTAAAAAAGTGCCCGGATGAATAACTCAATTGGTCCCGGGAACAACAACAAAAACAATCCAATTGAATCTCACTACAGTAGGGTCTGGGGAGGGTGTGTGTGTATGCAGACCTTGCCCCTACTCGGAAGTAGGTGAAGAATGAATATTTTCAATGATTAAAAGTGTAGGAGTACAACCGTATATATAGACAGGACGGGACTCCTAATACGAGTAGGAAACCTATACAAAAGGTAACTACCAATAATACAATGATACAATAATAAATACATTAAATATACTTAACATAAATATATATGGTAAATATATTTAACATGCTCCCGGCTACGTCGGCTGCGGTGGAGGACGAATCCCTAGGCTTGTGCGAAAATCCAGGAAGAGAACTGAAGGGAGTCCTTTAGTGAATATATCAGCATACTGGGAGGAGGATGGAACATGAAGTACTCGGATATGCCCGAGTGTGACCTTATCGCGAACAAAGTGAATATCTACCTCAACATGTTTGGTGCGCTGGTGCTGAACTGGATTGGTGGAGAGGTAGACAGCACTGACATTGTCGCAAAAGACAAGAGTGGCACACTGCAGGGGTTGTCGTAGCTCAAGAAGTAGGTTTCGAATCCAACTGGCCTCGGCTACTGCGTTGGCGACAGCACGATACTCAGCTTCGGCACTGGAACGGGAGGTGGTGGCTTGTCGCTTGGAGGACCAGGAGAAGAGATTATCACCGAGGAAGACACAGTAACCGGATGTAGAGCGTCTGGTATCTGGGCAGCCAGCCCAATCTGCATCTGAATAGGCCTGTAGTATGTCCGTCCGAGAGGGGGTGAGTGAGATGCCCATAGTGGTGGTGCCACGGAGGTAGCGGAGGACCCGCTTCATAGCTGTCACGTGCGCCTCTCGTGGAGCATGAAGATGGAGGCAAAGCTGCTGTACTGCATAAGTGATATCTGGCCGTGTGAATGTGAGGTGCTGCAGGGCCCCAACAATGGAGCGGTAGAGAGAAGGATCAGAGGCAGCTGGCCCATCAGTGGCAGAGAGTTTCGACTTAGTATCAACTGGGGTGGAGATAGGGCGACAGGTGACCATCCCAGCACGTTCAAGAATGTCATGAGTGAACTGTGTCTGATGAAGAAAAAGTCCACGGGGGGTGCGATGGACATTGATGCCCAAAAAGAAGTGCAGATCCCCCATATCAGTCATGGCAAACTCCCCCTTAAGCCGCTGAGTGAGGTGCTGTAGAAGATGGTCAGATGATGCTGTGAGGACAATGTCGTCGACATAGAGGAGTAGATAAGCTGTGTCTGGCCCCTTAGTGAACACAAAAAGCGACGTGTCCGTTTTGCAACTGTGGAACCCAATGGTCTGAATAAAACCTGCAAAATGATGATACCACGATCTGGGAGCCTGTTTGAGGCCATATAAGGCCTTCTTGAGCTTGCAAACATGATGAGGATTGGCGGGGTCCTGAAATCCGGAGGGCTGAGTGGCGTAGACCGTCTCCTGTAGGTACCCGTGAAGAAAAGCATTCTTGACGTCCAGCTGGTGGAT